GCCAGCATTTGTTATTTTCTGTCTTGTTGAACTTTGCTACTAGTGCTGGAGCAAGATGGTATCTCATTGTTGTTTTGATCTGCATCTCTCTAATATACTATGTAGTTTTAAGAAGACTTCAGGGCATACTTTTGGTTTAAGGTTTAAAGATTATCTCAGGGCAATGGTTCCAGAGATTTAACTAGCATCAGTGGCTCTAGAAAGTCTACAATCTACTTTGAAATTCTCTTTTGCATTTTCCCCTTTTGATTAGGATTCTTCTACGGAATCTTTGATAAAAATGTTCAGTAATGGTAGCCATTACTTCTGGTCTTGTGGCAAAGGAGGCAGTTGTTGATGGATGCAATTAGCCACACATTCCATACCCTTCTTCTATTCCTAACTCTCCCTCTTCTATTGTATTTACCTTCTTCCCAGTGAATAGAGACCAATTGTTGTGTCTTGGATGGCCCCTTGCAAGCTTTGAAGATCCCAGGCACTACACAATGAACTAGGAGGTAGCACAGAAACACTAAACACATTATTAGGCCAATTAACTGGGATGTTCCATGACACTGTGACTCTAAACATCCAAATGATGGAACCAAATCCCATGATGTGTTTGTTGTTGTTGTTGTTGTTGTGTGCCGTGGAGTCGGCCCCGACTCATAGATGTGTTTAGGTGTACATAAACAAACAAAGCTACTTTTTTTTTTTTTTTTTGCATTGTTGTAAATATATCTAGCACATGACTTTTGCCAATGCAACTTTTTATAGGCGCACAATTTATCGACATCCCCCTAAAAAAAAAAAACCTACTGCCATCAAGTCAATTCCAACTGAGTGACTCCCATTGGGTTTCCGAAGCAGTAAATGTTTATGGAAATAGATTGTTCAGTCTTGCTTCTGCGGAGTGGCTGGTGGATTTGAACCACCAACCTTCTAGTTAGCACTCAGATGCCTTAGTCACTGTGCTACTAGAGCTCCTTAATTTATTGACAGCAATTACAATAAAACCTATCCTTAATCCATGCAATTTTTCCATCACTGTTAACTCCCTTTTTCTCCCTCCCTGCCACCACTTGTAACCACTATCAAACTTTGTTCACTATACACTTGTCTTTTCATGTGAGGTCATACAATATTTGTTTTGTGATTGACTTATCTTGCTCAGCATAATATCTTCAAACTCTATTCATACTGTAGCATGTATCAAGACTTCATTTCTCCTACTGGCTGAGTAGTATTCCATTGGTATTTAGGATTTAAAAAATATTTTATGCAGGATATTTAGTAGTTTTTAGGGAGTCTTCCATGTACTTAGCTTGTCATAAAACCAAAAAAAAAAAAAAAAAGGAAACTAAAAACAAAAATAAAATATTACTTTGTGTACGTTTTGCATATAATCTGTCTTTTCCAGAATGCAACTACTTTGTAAATTGTTTTGTATTTTTCAAATGATGAAGCACTGTTCATCATTTTGGTAAATCACATCACCAATGGCGACACTGCCCAATACAACACTGTCAGGCGAATCTCTATTTGTACCTGTTGCATTCTTAGTGCTTCTAAGTATGACTACTTCACTGTATCTTCTGTGGTGGGTAGGGAATGCCCTCTGAGGAGGGGAAATTTGAGTAAGGTCTGAAAAAATGAGGATGGGTTAGAGAATACCCAGTACCAAGGTTGGAGGCAGGAACTGCTTGGTGCATTGCAGTGATAGACAGCAGGTCTGCACAGTGTATAGTGAGTGAAAAGGGGGACAGGTAGATGAGGTTGAAGGGCTGGGAGGCTCTGGTAAGAAGTTTAGCTTCACCATCTCTCTAGCCTAATCACACTACCTTTAGGTATGCAAGACTACATACCAGAAAATCTTTATCTTCGTCCCCACTGATTCCTACGCTTACAATGTGTTCCCTGTCTTTTTTGATTAGTAATAAAATTCCACTCATCCTTTAAGGCTAAGTTCAAAACGATTTATGAAATCTTAACCTATTCTTTAGCAAGACTTAATCACTCCCTTGTCTGATGTCCCATAGCATGTATGTCCCTATGGCACTAATCACGTGCTGACCTGTATCTCTGCTACCTGTGTACATGCCAGTCTACCTACCACAGAGTGAGTTCCCAGAGGGCAGAGGCTCTGTCTTAGTCACCTTGGTAGCTATCTTTTGGTGCCCAGGTCAATGCCTGGCCCACAGCAGGTACTCAATGAATGCAATGAACATTGTGACATTTATTTGACTAATGGGTGGTGCCCAGCACTACTCATGGTACAGCAGAAGGAAAACAAAAATAATGACAACTTACAGTTTATTATGTTTTTCTCTATTCACTGTCTGATTTGAGCCTTCAATTATTCTATGAGGTAGACAGGGTCTACTTGTTTTGGGTCTCTAGTGCTACTATAACAGAAAATACCACAAATGGATGGCTTTTACAAACAGATTTATTTTCTTAGAGTTTAGGAGTCTAGAAGTCTGAGTTCAAAGTGCCAGCTCCAGGGGCTGGTTGAAAGCCCCTTGACCTTGGGCTTCAGCACTGCCTCTTGCTCCCGGTCCACTGAAGCTGGAGCCTTCTTTTAACTCAGGCAGCTGTGCTGGCTGCTAAGGCTGACAAACCCAAAGTCAACAAGTACAACGGCACAGTCCCAAGATTATTAACAAGGCAGGCCACTAATTCAAGTCCATAAACAATCCCAAGATCAGCAGGGCCAGCATGGCAGGCTGCTGAATGAAGACTCAGATAAAGGCAGGTTCCAAGCATACCAAAAAGCTAGAGACCTTTCTAAAAGCATCTTCTTATATACTGGAAGCAGATCACATCCCTCAGGTAGCTACTCAGTTGCTCACAATAGATTCCATCATGGACTTGGATTACCAGTCTCATTACCGGGAGTAACAACATCCAGCTGTCCAGCCACTCAAAACCAGGCCAGCCAAGTTGACACACAACCATAACTACCAAAGCACTATTACTCCATTTACAGGTAGGGTAGCTGATGCCGAAGGCCACACAGCTAGCAAGTAAAAACCAAACCAAAGTCATTGCTGTTCAAGTCCATTCCGATGCATAGCGACTTCTCATAGGGTTCTCAAGGCTGTAAATATTTTCAGAAGCAGACTGCCATATCTTTCTCCAGTGGCGGGTTCAATCTTTTTGTTAGCAGCTGAGCACTTAACCGCTGCACCACCAAGGCTCCTAGCTAACAAGCAGTGGTACCTAAATCTCAGTCCTGTCCTCTTCAGATTCAGTGCCAGGAAAGACGATAGAGAAACCCGAAGAACAGTTTGAGGAGATAAACCAAAGAGTTGTTGTTGTTTGCCGTCGAGTCAGCCCTGACTCATAGCGACCCCTCCTTGGGTTTCCGAGGCAGTATCACTACGGAAGTAGGATTGCCCAACCTTCCTTCCGAGGAGTGGCTGGTGGGTTTGAACCGCCAGCCTTCTGATGAGCAGTCAAGTGCCTTAGGCACTATGCTACCAGAGCTCCTTTAAACCAAAGAGGTTGGTTGCAATGGAAAAGGGCATTTGTGGGTGGACTAGGGAGAGATTCTCAGTCAGCTGGGACGGAGTTAATAGCAGCCCGGTTAGGGAGGGCACAGCATTCCTTCCCCTAGCCCACGCAGTATCACGCCCTCAATCCCTGAAAGCCGGGGAACTCCAGCCTGCGAAGGAGGAGAGAGGCATTCCAGTCAGGAGGTTTAGATGACGTAAACGATGACCTGTTAGCAGAGGGACTGCCGCTCTGTTGCCATGAAAACCGGAGTCTGACTACCCGGCCCTTACAAGGCTGGCTGAGGCAGGTTCTTCGTTAACTAGGGATTAGGAAGGGTGTGTGAACGTGCGGTGGAATAAAAATGTAAAAGAGGTACAATCAAGAAAGACTACTTAGCTCAGTGGTTCTCCACCTTTGCAACGTTAGAATCACCTGCGGAATTTTAAAAGTTCCAATGTCTAAGCCATAGCCCAGACCAATAAAACAGACTCTCCAGGGAGTGGAACTAGGCATCAATGCTTAAATTTTTCCAAGTGAGTCCAATTGCAGCCAAAGTTGCAAACCCTCCTTTCAGCGGGTAAATGGAATTTCTGTGACCTCCTCAAGATGGCGGTCCATCAGGTCGCTTCCGCCTTTACGTAAACTGGCGGGGCGGCCCTTCCAGGGGCGCATGCGTGTAGCATCTCTTCACTCTCGGCTCCCCTCCTCCTTTTCCCCCGCCTCCATTTTGTTTGCGGACGCTGGGGACGGTGGGAGCAGATCTATTTCCGGGTTGGCAAAAGGGGCGGCGGCGGCTAGAAAGGGAGCTTGCCGGGGGGGCGAGCGGGACGGGACGAAGCCACAGTGGAGGTGGCGGAGGATTCGCTCTCGGAGCAGCTGTGGCCAGGTTGGAAAGAGGCCGGGGCAGCTGGGTCGATCACTGAGGAGACCTGCGGACCTGAGTGGGTGGAAGAACCGGGGAGTGGGTATTGGGGCGGGGCTTGAGAGAGGGGGGCATTGGAGGAGGGGCCTGAGAAGTAGAGGGGTCCTGAGGGCGGGGCCTGAGGAGAAGGGGCCTGGAGCCTGGGTCTGAAGAACCTGGGGGAGAAGGGGCGTGGGGAATCCAAGTAGGGAGAAGTGGTCGGGAATTGGTGTGGAGCGAGCTGACTGTGAAAAATGGAGGGGAAGGTTATCGAGAGACAGGAAATAAGGGATCGTGAAGGGTTGGGTAAGGTGAGTAAGACGGGAACTCCGGGTGAGGAACGAGGTAACCGTGCGCAAAAAGGGAGATGGGGAGGGAGGACCTGTTGGGAACAAGTAATTAGCAGGATGCTCTGCGTGAGGACACCAGTGTGATTTTTTTGGGGTTGAGTTGGTTGCAAATCAATGGTTGGGGGAGGAAACTGCTTAGACTAGAGAGAATCTTGAGAGCGTTAGTTGAGAAAGAATCAGAATTGAGTGAAAGGTTGTATTGAAAACCGTTGAGATGGAACCGGGAGCATCTGGAATTGAGGGTTCATGTTGGAGTTGGGGGAAGTGCTGAGAAGTTAAGTGAGAGAAGATAGAAATCGGAAAGTGGTGGACGTGGGCAGTGTATGTGGTTGAGTTGCAGATCAAGAAGAAACATTCTTGAAGGATAACATTGGGGTAAGGACCTGGAAGATGCTGATATGTGCTGGAACTCATTTTAAAGGGATTTGAATGTTCTTACTGCTTTGGACTCTCCCAGCCCCCCTGCCCCTTTTTCCTTGCTGTTATATTTGCCTTAAGGTTTTGCTTTCTGAATGACTTACTGAATATTTTTGGAGACTTTTAAGCCCTTTTACAAACCAGAAGAGAACCTCAGGGAATAAAGACTGTTCCTAGCCCACCTATAGATTTACTGAGGAACTTTGAGGCAAATCATTAAACTGACCAATTTTTCTCCCTCCTTGAAATACAGGTCTGGTCCCTCTCTGCCTCTAAAAGATTGTGTTAATCAGATGAGATCTTTAAAGTGGTTGCAAAAAAAAGTCACTTCCCAGCACAGGGTTGAGGTACTGCCATTTAGGAGACATGTCCTTCTCAATTTCTTCCTCAGCATACACTGCATTTTTATGCGCCAGGGAAGAGTTGGTTTTTAAATTCTCCATTCTTCTATCAATCAGAATTTCACATTATTGGGTTGCATTTTATTGAACAATTTCATCAAAATGGAGATTGGGAGTTTAGGGTTGGGGATGAATGAGGTAGGTTGGTGGGGACTGTGGGAGAATGCAGTGTTGTAGAGAGAATACACTTTTATTTTCTAGTTGCCAAAGTATTTTACTCCTGACAGACACTGTATCTCTTCATGAATCTTTGAGAGTCCAAGGATAAACAGTATTTTAGACAGTTGAGCTTTTTGCTTTGGTCTGATAACTCTAGCATAGCTGCGTGTTGGTAGGGACCAGTGTGATTGTGGACAATTTTAGCTTGTTGTTACTCGTGGGAAATTCTGATGTTCTAGTTTTTCTCTTTGGGCATAATGCTCTAAACACTTGGCCTATAGGTGAATTTGTTTAGCTTAGAAGATGTGTTCCTGGAAGTCTTGGCATTTCTGAAGTCTGACGTGGATTTGCTTAAGGGGGGCAGTTTCTAGTTTTGCCTTCCACTTGATACAGAATAGTGTTTACTCTAGTTGGAACTGATTGGTTATGTGATGTCAGCACAAAGGTGAAATGCAGGGGAGCCTGGAAGGTACAGTGAACAGTAGGGTTCTCAGATTTGACTAACAGCTTGGAAGAAGGAAAGGGAGAGGTCTTTGTTCCTAATGAAGAGAAAATTGTCACTTGCTCTTTCTTGACTCTCTAGGCTGTCTGATGATGAGAGTGACCTGATGTACTTGGGTCTCTTTTTCTATTAATCTAAAGGAATGTCTGAAATTCATGGACTGCTGATTCAGGCTGTATCGGTAAACTATAGTCTTTATGCTAACCCCAGGTTGAGGTGTAGACTGTGATGCATATATACTTATTTGGAGTCAAAACCTGCTGTCATTATATACTGTCATTTCAACCTACAGTGCATCTTTTCGGTTTGTTATTAAGAGGACTTTGAGATAAGTTGTGGAGGCTCAGAGTTCTGGGCAAGCTTTTGGTATAGCCTGCTCTAACATGATTTTCTGTTTTTCATATCCTGTCACGTTTTGCCATTGAACCACTTCTAAGTGGAAAATAGCAAATTATACATTTTTCCCCCCTCCTTTTTAGTCTCTGGTGGACATCTTGTCTGTGTCACAGTGTGATACCACCAAATGAAAGGATTCTTGACTGCTCCAAAAGGAGAGGGTGACAGAAGCTGAGCTGGGTTTCCTGGCCCAGAGAATGGACTCTGTCAAACAAAGAATAGTTGCAGAGACGCACAACTGGGACCTTCAAACTGTGACTAACATTTTGGCAACATGCATCCCTTTTCCAAATAACTTCTTTTCTTCTTGAGTGTGATTGTTAATCTCCTCCTCAAAGTAGGCTCTTGTTGCTTGTTCCTCACACAACTCCTGAGCAGAAGTTGGCAGAGTTCCGGTTGACTGTCTCTGGAGGGATGTGCCCCGGATTAGAGTAGATGGGGCATGCTGTCTCAAAATGAGGTTCATTGGCAGATCCTGAGAACTGCTCCTTAAGAAAATAGAGGCAGTATGCTTAACTGAAGGTTCTTGCAATCCTTTATGGTTCTTCTAAATTCAGGTCAGTTTCTTATTCATCTGGTGATTACATGCAGAATCATTGACATTGACTGCCCAGTTTGAATGTCCTGGGCATTGAGAGAGAGAAATTGATTTAATATTTCTGATAGTTTTTTCCTCCACTGTCACGCACAAGCCTTTGAGCTGAGGGAGCCACAGGTTAAATTTATGAGGACTTCTTAATATGATCTATAACCAAAAAAAAAAAAAAAACCACACCATTGCTGTTGAGTCAATTCTGACTCATAGTGACCCTGTAAGACACAATTGAACTGCCCATAGGGTTTCCAAGGCTGTAATCTTTACTGAAGCAGACTGCCGCATCTTCTTCCTGCAGAGCAGCTGGTGGGTTCAAACTGCTGATCTTTCAGTGTGCAGCCAAGTGCTTAACCACAGTGCCACCAGGGCTCCTTACATGATCTGTAGAGGAATATTAAAAAATGTTGAATAGAACTTTATGGGGAAAAACAATGTTAGTAAGAAAAATAGGTGATACATTTATATCAGTCTTAAGAAGCTCTGGTAGCTCAGTGCCTAAGGTATTTGACTGTTAACCAAAAGGTAGGCAGTTCAAAGCCGTCAGCTGCTCTGCAAAAGGAAGATGAGACAATCTACTTCAGTAAAGATTTACTGCGTTGGAAATCCAGTGGGGGTCGCTATGAGTCAGAATTGACTCAGTGGCAGTGGGTTTGGTGTTTTTTTTTTTTTTAAGTGGTTTTAGAGGGTATTGGTGGTTCAGTGTTAAAATCTCGCCTTCCATGTAGAAGTCCTGTGTTTGAGTCCTAGCCACCGGACCTCAAGCACAGATACCATTCATCTGTCAGTGGACGTTTATGTGTTACTGTGATGCTCTGGGTTTTAGTTGGAGCTTCCAGACTGAGATAGGCTATGAAGAAAGATCTGGTGATCTGCTCTTCAAAATCAGCCATTGAAAACCCAGTGAAGCACAGTGGTCCACACTCATGCTTGGAATCACCAGTAATCAATGACAGTTAACAGCAACATGTCAGTCTTAGATCTCTTAAGATTTTGACTTAGCACTCAGAAAAAGCTGGTGGAGCAAATAAGTTATCAAATAAGAGAGCCAGGAATGGCTCATAACTTTTCATTTAGGCTTGACAACGTTATCACAATTTAGAATGGCTATAGAGCAGTGTGCTTTACTTAGTAAATACTGTTTTGTTTTTCAGGCAGTAATTAGCTGAAGATAACTGTGTCTCCATAGGTTTGGGGATGGGTTGTAAAGATCATTTCTTGTAATTTATGACAATGGCCTTTGCAACATTGGAGATACCCTCAAAATGAAGCCTCATTTGATGGCCTGGATTCAGCTTTCCCTTGCAATCATTAGGCAAAAGTATTCTGTTCTTGACATGCAAGTTTGGGAGACTAGCAGGTTCAGATCTCAAAGGTTTTCACTCTGGTCTAGGGCTTTGGGGTTGAGGTAGCAAATACGATTATTGGAGTTGTATTTAAATCCATTTACAGTTCTTTCTTTCCTGAAGCACATCTTGAATGCTTGGCAAATCTGCATTTTTAAGGAATATGTGTAGATTTTTTTCCCCATTCTTATAATTGGTTTTAACTTTTTTTTTTTTTTTTTAAGTTTCTCATAGTTTGTGGACTCAAATTAAGCTCCATCTAGATTTTGAGGCCTCTCGATGAATATAATTCCTATTTTTAGTCAGTACTCAGGATATTCCTTCTTGCTTTCTGTGCGTACAGAAATTACTGAATCCAGTAATCCCCTTTGACTGTGTAAATATGAAAACATTCACCATATGTATTCAGATTGGGACAGTTAGTTTTAAAAAATGGAATTTCCTTCTAAAGTGGTACAGGGTATCTGAGATTTGGGCATAAGTGAGTTTTTCTTCTTCCTTCTTTCACCTCCCTAATATTCAGCCGATAGACAGGATGTTTACTGTCTAAGATCCAGGTATGAGATATTTAAACTATTTTTACTGCTGTCTTAGAATAAGAACAGGAATGTTTTTAGCAGGTTTTATTTTTTGAATAGATAATACATATAGCTCAAAATTCAAGCGGTAAAAAAAAAGTATATAGTGAATTGTCTGCCATCTATCTTTGCCCCTTTGCCCAGTTACCTTCCCAGAGGCAACTAGTATCACTTTAAGATTCTTCCCAGAGATACTATGTACATATGAAGTCAATATATATATTTCTTGTTTTTGTTTTTTTAATTTAGTATACTGTTCATACTCTTTG